TTTTTTTTTTTTTTTTTTTTTTTTTTTTTTTTTTTTTTTTTTTTTTTTTTTTTTTTTTTTTTTGTGCACTGGGGCAAACCCAGGGGCATTCTATCACTGAGCTACACCCTATCCTAATTATTTTTTACTTTGAGACAGGATCTCACTAAGTTGAACTTGTGATTCTCCTGCTTTAGCCTCCTGAGTTGATGGAATTACAGGTGTGCATCACCACACCTGGCTAGCAGTTTGCTTTGTTATATTTTAATATTGCTTCCAATTTTATGTGAATCAAAGGAATTTAAAGGAATTTAAGAAAATTTTCAACAATCAGATCTTAAGTCTTTTTGGTTCATGTTTAATATATACTTGATTTTTTAAATAAAGTTATGCTTGCCCCACTGCACATTTTAAAAAATTTACTATTCAAAACTTTGTGAGGTAGTATTTTGAAGGTCTGTAAGGAAAGCAAGTTAGAATATTTCTTCCTTTCATAGGAGAAATCAGTCTCAGATGTAACATGTTCCTGGCTATATAGCTGATAGATGGTAGAATCAGGAGTTGAATTCAGGATCTTCTGTCTTGAAGTCTGGTAATTTTCCCTTCTTCTTGAAGCAAATGTAGTAGCAGAAACAAAATTTTGAGGAACATTAACTTTTCTTATCAACTTACCTTAGTATAATGGTTCTAAAATTCTGTATTAGCTTACACATATCAACATAGACTAAGATATTTAACTGGGAAAGGGGACAAGGAAATAGTCCTTGATTAGGGAACCTTTTTTTCATTATCTTCTGTGTGTCAGTGAGTTGGTGACCAAACAGTTGACCAAAGGGAGCTCATTTTATAAAGTAAGACCAGGTCTTTTTTTTTTTTAATACTATGTTAAATATAATAGCCTGTTACATAAAGGACCTTATGTTTAGTGTGAATACTAGTGTAATTTGATATGCTTATATAGTTTATATAGTCAAAGTACTGTTTTTGAATTTTAAAAAAACCCTGAAAATAGATGATTGATTGAAGAGTAGCAACTTAATTATTTTAAGGATGAAATTATATTAGCAATGACCAACAAACTACTTACTTGCATAGCTAATAACTGTTTAATTTGCATAGGAGCTATATTTAGTTGGGAGAAATAAGTTGTGTAAGGTCAGTGCTTTAAGTAAGGAACTGAATTTACTTTTTGAGGAAACTAAGGGTATATTATGAACTCCTTCTCATTCAGGTTGTAAAAAATATACTTGATTATAGACCTGCCTAGGTTGCTCTGCATATCTTACTGTTTGAAATGAGCTTTTTGTGATTTTATTAGAAAAATGGATATTGTATCTTATAGTGCACAAATATGTGGGAAAATATCATTCCTGATTCTTTTTTACATTATCAGTGGGTATTCAAACAAATCAGAATTAGATCAAATTAATTTTTGTCATGGAATAAAGGTTGCTAAGCAAATTGATCATTTGTAAATAAAATTTGAAGGGTGATATTTCCTTAAGATTATTTTCAAGCCTGTTAGACCATTTATAGTCAATTAATAAAAAAATTATAGGTGATGCTTCACTGTTAATAGCATATGGCTAGCAATTTCCACTTTACTAAATGAAGGATGATATATACCCTTATAAATGTATTAGAACTTAGATTTATAGTACTCAGACTGGACTACTATTAGTAAGTATATTTTTTACTTTATAGTTAGGGAAAAAATATAGGTTATCTTTGTTGCAAATAGAATTCTTAAAAATATTTCCCCTGATTGGGAGGATAGTTCAGTGATAGAATATAAGCTTAGCATATACAAGATCCTGGGTTTGATCTCTAGCGCGCACACACATACACACACAAAAGAAAAAAAAAAGAAAAAGGAGGGGGGGCAGGGAAGAAGCCAAGACAAACTTTCCTGAAAGCTTATTAGTTGTTTTCCTACCTTTAGTTTTACATTTTCATTTCAATTCTTCATTTCTGCAGAGGTTTTTTGAGTACAAAAATCTCAAATTACAGTACAAAAATCTCTCCCTTCTTGCAAGCTGTTGTACAATTGCTTAGGAAATGTGTTTCTTAGTATGAATCTAAATGAGGTCAGGACAACTACAGAGAGTTGTGATGGGACAAAATGTGTTCTAGTAGTTATTATGGTAGATTTCATGGTAATTTGTTACTTCAGTGGTATAGTTTGCATTTTGTGATTAGCACAAATTTTGATCAATAAGGTCAGAGTCAGGTAAAGTAATTGTGCTCCTATGAGGAATGACTATGAATATTGTCTAACTTTTTAGAGTTAATGACTGTCTTTATGAGTTTAGAGATTAACTGCCTTGCCCCACAAACTACTTTAGATCCTGGCATGTCAGAGGCTCTCAATGGATTCTTAATTTTTTTAACTGAATAATTTTTTTCTTAAACAACACTAACTATATTTTAAGGTATTGGGATTTTTAAAAAATGGTTTAACCTTTAAGTACATATATTTTACACATAGACTATTAATGTAACTCATTAGATGAGAGAATGAATCTGAAAGTATTTGGAAGTTAAAAGTCTTTACTATAGAAATGTAGGATGGCCAGGCACCTGTGTAATTCCAGGAACTCAGAAGGCTGAGGCAGGAGGATTGCAAGTTCAATTTAGTGAGATTCTGTCTCAAAATAAAAAATAAAAAGGGCTGGGGCTGTAGCCCAGTGGTAGAGCCCCCATTATGGGTTCAATCCCCAGTACCCCACACACACAAAAAATTTAGGATGGTATTTCAATGAATATTGAAGTATGCATATTTATTTGGGGATTCCTTCTTCCCCCAATCATATTCAGCTTTCCTAGAATTATGTGAAGATATTTCTAAGATAAGATAACCGTATACTGGGTTCAAATGTATCTCTCACTTAGTTGTTTGTATACAGTATACTAGT